AAAAAAAAAAAAAAAAAAAAAAAAAAAAGAAAACTATATGCCTAGCCCGGGAGTCACCAGCCTGAGGGTAGCACAGGTACTTAGCTCAAGGTTAGTTTCAAAACCACACATCCCAGCAGTGCAGTGACCTGGACCCAGAACTGCAGTTGTGTGGGATGAGGACTGCGCTCTTCCTGCACAGGTGCTCCGTCCCCACCATTCTCCCCAGCTCCCCAAAGAGAAAGCGCTCCAGAGGGAAGAACTCAGGAAGGTGGATGCTCACATCCTGATCCTGCTCTCAATTCACCAGTCAGCTAGGCCAGCTGCGCTTTGTTTCCTCCTGGGTAAGAAAAGATCACAGCTGTCCTCTTCCCAGGAAGGATGCCAGCTGAAGTCCCTGCAGGCCCTGTCCACATGACTCCATGGCCTCACACTGAGGTGCAGCAGCTACTAACAGCTTCTTTATAAGGTGATGGCAGAGGGTGCATGGGGTCCCAGTGTAGCCTAGGTTGTTCCATAAGCTGGGAGAAAGCAAGCTGCCCAAAGTGAGCTCGAAGACAAGGGTCACACAGCTGGCATAACAAAACGAAGGTGGCACCAGACCTCACATTCCACACCCTGGCAAGGTCAGTGTGGGTACCCTTACCATTAAGATCCACACACAGGCAGGCAAGGGGAGTCGGCCCTAATCAGTCTGGGCCTCAAAAACTAAATCTTATCAGAAGAAAATTGAAAGTAGTTTCATAGTGCTGAGTACTTTGTGGAGGATACTAACATAAAAACACAACAAATCATGAAAACAGAACATGAAGCTTTTGAAGGTACAAGTGAAGAAGCAACCAATGGCTTACATCTTTCTTCTGCTGGAGACGCAAATCTGTGACGCTAGAGTCAATGATATGTTAACACCCATAGCACTGATGAACAGAACTCAAGCCTCCTTCCTACAGACAGCTGCTGATGCTGTCAGCTACGTGGGCAAGATGCCAGGTACAATCACACAATTACAGATAGCCATTGACAGCTATGCTTTTTACAGGTAACTGTTGACATAGTTATACTATTTATAGAATTCTCCATAGATAGTTACAGCATTTATGGAGAGTTTTTAACACATAGTTCTTACACTATTTTGAGGATTGATTTAGCTATGACACAAAGCAATCACTTTCCCCGTCAGCCGGGCTCCACTCTAGGCTCAGGGAGGTGCTAAGTGTTCAGGCTGTGGCATGGGCAGTGCTACTATTTCTCGCTGGTTCCTGCTCCCAACTTCCAGACTGCCCTCTGCAGCTGGGATCTTGGGGTAGTAGTGGTGCTGAGCTCGCACTCTGCCCTGTCCTCCTCTTGCATGTGGTTGGGGCAGGAAGGATCCTGTGGGCCATCTGAAGAGGCAGCTTAGCCAGTACCCTTTGTGGGAGGCATCATCTGTCCTTGAGGACTCTTGTGTGGATTAAATCAAGTGGGTACAGACAGCTTACAAGAAAGAAGCTGCAGAGTGCTGGATTTTCACCACAAGAGTGGGGGCCTGCCACCTGGATACCCACTTCTCCTTCAGTGGCCTTCTAGCTACTGTGGACTCTGGCCACGGTTCCTCCCACCCCACCTGACTGGAGCACATAACTGTTCACCTGTTTCCTCCCTTTAGGATAGAGTCTTTGCTTTGTCATGTAGTTTTAGCAACACAGAGCCTCAAATCAAGTGTGCTTGGGCAAGCCATATTTTACCCACAATAAAGCCAATGCTCTCATCTCTACCTGTCTGCTCGTTTCTCTGAGGTTCCAAACCCCAACAGCACAAATTATCCCTACAAGCCTCTCCAGGCTACCCTCCAACCACTGTGGCTTTCCAGTAAAATCTGCCTTGGTAGAAGAGCATGTGAAGGATGCTTCTGCTAACAGAAGCACACACAATTTAGGATTTTTTCCTTAGAGACAGTATTTTTTTTTTTTTACTTTATAATATGCTTTAATACAATCTTATTACAACCATTCTAAACCTCAGTTCTATATGTTTGGCTCTGAGGCTAAAGTAAAGAACATGCTTTGGAAGAAGCCTCTAAATAAAAAAATTTGAAGTCTTGTGATAGTTAACAAGGCACTTTGGATAGATTTTAGACAATCTGATGAGCGCTAGCTATTTCAAAAGTGAAAAAAATAAACTTCATCATTTTACAACTCCATAGAGGCTGTACCACTCTACTAACATCTCTAGTCAGGCTAAATCCTTTAAAAGCCACATGGAATCTTTAAACCATTGATTTATTTTTGGCAGCTTTCTGTACAAGTTATTGATAGAGACAATAATTATAATAATCATTTCCACATTGCCTGGAATGAGACTATATAAATATTAAAACAATTCAGCTTCCCTAGTTTTTCAAGACATAAAACAGAAACTTCTTGTGACTGAGTAATCATTGGTGCATTTCACACATCTTTTTTTTTTTTTTTTAATGTATTTAGTACAGGGTCTACAGGGTTTCACTACACACATCGAACTTGTAGTGATGCTCCTGTTTCCAGCCTCCCAAGTGCTGGGATTACAGGCGAGTGCCACCACGCCCAGTCTTCACACACCTTAATAACGAGAAAACCAATTAGCTAAATCAGCACATCCATATGTTTCTAGGGGAAACAGAACAAACTGTCTAGCAGAGAAATGCCTTTACCTGAGAGACATCATCAAAGAGCCGCTGGGCAAAGTGTGACAGCACATCGTCTACGGACTTCCCGTTCCCAAACTGGATCACTGTCCCTGTGGCTTCGATGACAGCCACCCGGACTTTCCAGTGCTGGTGGGAGATGGTGTGCATCAGAGGGCTGATCAAGGACTCCGACTGCATGTGGAAGTGGTCTGGGGGACAAGGAGGCACCAGTTACACCCTTGTGCCTCATGCCCCTCAGCTCTGTGGCTGTCAGCACCTGCGGACATCATCCTTTCCCCACTCAACATCAACCCAACCTGACACTGAGGGCCCTTGCTGGCCTCCTCTCTCACTACTCTTCCATGGCCCTGGTGGCTTCCTGGGCTCTTTAAATGTGGTGCCCTTATTCTGCAAGGCTGGTTCCTTACTGGTCACAGATTTCTTAATTAAACATTCCTTCTCCAAGGAAGCCTTCTGTCAACCCTAAGCAGCACCTATTGTTCCAAATCTCAGCCTAAGAAGCGAAAGGGAATGACCCAAGGTTCAGAGCTGTTAGAAAAGTAGAGAATGAACTAAACGCGTGCAAGAGCGAAATGGCTTCTCTGTACTGAGAGCAGTGGCCCAAGCCAGAGACAGGAGCGTTGGAGTTGGAAAAACAGAGATAAAGTAGGAAGACGGAGCGTTTCTGTGATCAGACCTTGTAACCTCTGTCATTAAATTCATCATAGGAAAGGCAGTCCATCAGAACCACCCAACTCGGGGCCAGGGAGATGGCTCAGTGGAATAAGCGCTTCCCTGGTAAGCACAAAGGCCTGAGTTCAAGCCCCGGTTCTCCAAACAAACAAACAAACAGACCCTGCAGAACCACCCAACTCCAAACCAGCTTAGAAAGGATTTCTTCAAGGGGTCCGGAAGTAGGGATGAGGAGGGGTGCTTCACGTGGCATAAGGCTCAGATGTCACAGGAAAACGAAACGCACACGGAGGTGAGGGTGGGGGGAAAATGTCCTGGAGAAGGGGCGGGGCTTCAGGCCTCACCGGGCGTGGCGCGCGCCAGGGCGGCGGCGCACTCACAGCTCTCGCGTCGCACAGCAGCAAAGGGGTCCAGCAGCGCGTCCCGCAGCGCACGCACAACGTCGTCCAGGTGGGGCGCGAGAGCGGCGCCACCAAGGCTCACTGTTAGGCCTAATAGCTGCACGAGGGCCAGGCGCAGCTCCTCGCAGGCTTCGGGCGGGGGCCGCGCAGGATCGGGCCGGGTTAGGCGTGCGGTAAGCGCGGGCAGCAGGCGCGGCAGGGCGTCGCAGGGTCGCGCGGCGCGGCGCAGGCCGAGGTCCAGCAGGTGCACAGCTTGCGCGCGGCAGCCCTCGGCCGGGTCGGCCAGGAGGCGCAGTAGGCGCGGCAGCAGCAGGCGTGCCCAGGGGCCCTGAAAAGCGGCGGGGTCGGCGCTGGGCCCCGCGGTCTCCTCCATTACATGCTGCAGGGCTTCCAGCGCGCGCCGCCGTCCCAGCTTGCTGTCTGTTTCCAGCCCTGGCAGCAGACGGCCCAACACGCGGCTCAACTCCACCAACTCCGAGGGACCGGCGGCTCTCTCCGCCTCCGCCGCCATCTTGCGCGCGTTGCTTGTCTCTTAGGAAACCAATGCTTTTACGACTTACGCTGCGCAGATTACGGCATGACTTCCGGCCGGCCCAGCTTGCGGCTGGGCTCGAGCCTCGGGGGTGGGGAGAGGACCAAAGGGGTGTGGCCAGGATCTCGGGAGGAACGCGAGACTCTGGGGACCCAGTTCTGGGGGCGAGACTAGCGGCGTGGAGAGCGTGAGGTGACTGAGCGGGGAGTTAGGGGCTGGGCGCGTGCCTCGGGGGCGGAGCTACGAGGGCGGGATTTAGGGTGGTGTTAGCTCCTCGAGACTGGAGGATCCTGTCTTTGGGGCTAGACGGGTAGGCGGATCGCGGAGAATCCCGTGCTGTGTGATGTCCCCTCTAGGGCCTTTGTTCAGGTGGGAGCCAGTTTGCTCTGAAAAGGTGGAAGGTGGTAGTTGCACTTGCCCGGGTGCTCGCTGGCGAGTCCCTGCCCCTATATTTGCGCGGACTGTAGAGGGGTGGGTAACTTGCCGTGGGAAAACTAAGGGTTACCGCTTGGTCGGGTCTCCTTTGCTTTAGGTCATCTGCTGGATGCTCAGCATTGGCCCTAGCAGGGCCAGATGCACAGCTCCAGGGAGATCAAAACCCTCTTAACAGAATTCGAGATTCTCTGGGGGCTAAAATAAAGATCTCAGGGTAGCCGTATTTATTTGGTTGTCATCAAAGGAGGGGAGTATTGAAAGGGGGAAACCACTTAAAGCTTCTCCAAGTTAGTTTAGGAGAATTACGTTATCTCTAGGAAGGTTATCTTGTTGCACTCAGGAGTAAGATGCCTGCAACAATAGTCTGTATCTAGTTAATTGAGGTCAGGGCCACTTGCTTGTCCTTTGAGGCATCACCTGGGACCAGTGACTCATAGAGGTTCAATTGCTATGAGTGTGCTGCCCATCTCCAGACACAAGGCCTGGGCCTGTACAAACTCACAAATAAATTGATTAATGTTAAATCCCCTTTTATCAGTGGTCTCCATCAAAAGGGGATGTCAGCCTCGTGAGGAGCTCCAGACTGACTTTACAGTTTTCCCCAGGACAGCCCCAAACTAACCCTAACCACATAGGATTTGGCTGAGTCCTGAGACTGTCTGGCTCTCTGCTGTGGCACATGCAGACCTAGTCGTTTCCCAGCAACCCCAGTCCAGGGAAACACTTCCAACCCCACAGGTGATACCAACAGGGATGAATGCCCTCTCTCTCTTCCCAGTACCAGAGAATAAAGCAGAGGGCAGTGTAAGGGCCCTGAGGACAAAACCCACATTGGAACAACAGGTCACAAAAGTAAGCCAAGATCTATACACTGGAGTCACTGGGGTGGCTACCTGCTAGCATAGAGGAATTAAATGGAACCAGATATCCAGGATACTTTTGAAAATCATTTGTCATACCAAGAAACAGGAAAATCACGATGTGAAGGATGCCAAGATAACTCAGATGTTTGGAGTACCTGCCAAGTATTTTAAAGCACTCATTTAAAAATGCCTTAAAATAGGATGACCCATTTAAAAAAATTATAAACTTATTTGAAACAAAACATGGGAAAATTTAGCAAAAAGGAAAAAAAAGGAAGCTGTAAACAGCCAAATGGAAATTATAGAATTAGAATTTTGTTTTTTTGAAACAGGGTCTCACTATGTAGTTTAGGATAGCCTTAAACTCACTTTGTAGCCCAGGCTGGCATCAACTTGATGGCAATCCTGTTTCAGCCTCTTGAATGTTAGGATTACAGGCATGTATCACCATGCTTGGCCTAGAATTTGAAAAAATAATAACCAAGATAATATGTCCATCATTGAAGCACAGCAGAGATAATAGAGCAACAGAATTTACTGAGCTGCAGAAAGTAGAGTGGAGGAAAATGAACTGAGTCTTAGAGGTTTGTAGGATAAGAGTTGATATACCAAAACAAACAAAGGTGATATGCCATAATCGCAGAACAAGAATGGGACTAAAATGCATTTAAAGAGGGCTGGGGAGATAGCTCAGTAGGAAGGGCCTGAGTTCAATCCCTGGTTCTGCAAAGAAAAATAAATTTTTTTTTTAAAAAAAGTATGGGCCAGGGAGATGGCTCAGTAGAATAAGTGCTTCCCTGGCAAGCGGAAGGGCCTGAGTTCAATCCCCGGTTCTGCAAAAATACAAAGCAAAAAAAAAAAAAAAAAAAAAAAAAAAAGAACTAGTGGCTAAAAGCTTCCAGATTTGGT